GACACCCCCACCTTTCCCTGACTTGACATCTATGAAAGTAACTCTATACTGATACTTATTATTAACCCCTAACACACGCCTAACCAATTTAAACAATTCTCCCTAGCTGTTACCATGGAAATTTTGATTTCAATTATTAAAACGCGTAAATTTCAGAAATACGTTATTCCAAAAAAAATTTCGCTTGAAGATGGAACAGAGCTTACTTTAACTCAATTTAATCCAAATAATTATATTGAAGTTTTCGGCTCTTGTTTTGAAACATGAGACCTCTCATGTCGCGAGTTGAATCATATTTTAAATAAATAATATATATATATATATATATATATATATATATATATATATATATATATATATATATTCTGTTTATTTAGACAGCTAATGTTCTTTAAGTCAAATATTATTTTAAAAAATTCGGATATTCTATGTCGATTATTTTTAATGATCAACTTCTCAAACAAGGAGGAAATTCCCACAAAACGCGACGTTCATTTCGGGAGAAAAGGACAAGCAATAAGATCCAAACTTTTTCTCAGAGCAAGGGGAGATAACCATGTAAAATTAACATTAATTAAATTATGACATAAAGTTTTAAGACGCGTGTTTTTAAGCTTAACAAAATTCTTTTGCAATTTGAGTGAATTTACTTTAATGATCTTTAAATCTAGTGGAAAAGGTGACTTTAAAAAACATAAATTAAATAGCACGAGAGAGAAAATGAATAGAGATCTGCAGTCTAAGCACACATCGGTTATTTGCACAAAATCAGAATTAAAAAAAAAAATGGGCCCGGGGTTAAAAACTAGCAGTGAATAGAAAAATCAGGTTCAATTATGTTTACGGAAAGCGTACAATTCGGTGAAAAGCAATAAACAGCTATTAGAGTCAAGTCAAAATCGAGTTCTTTATTTATGGACACGCAGCGGTGAGAATTACGTCGCGAATTGACCTTTGTAAATCAAACAGAAAATCGAGATATTCACTGTCGACTTTTATTGGGATGACTTGAATAAGGACGGGATGATTATAATGATAATAATAGAACGGGTGGTTATATTGATATTGGTAGCAGTATTAATAGTAATAGGAGTACCAGATGTACTTAATAATAATAATAATAATAATAATAATAATAATAATACTTAACAGTCATAAAAACTTGACGTTGTAAAAGGAAATATGTAGACAGCAATGGGAAGGAATTAAATAAATCATCTGAAAATTATCAAGTGAAAATGATAATTACATTTCTGTTTCACTGACGTCGACGCTAGACTCACGAGAGGCTTATCACCTCCTTCATTTTTTTTTTCTCTGGCGTTTTTCTTTCTTTCTTTTTTCCTTCTTTCGTTTTTTCTTTCTTTCTTTCTTTCACTGAAACCAAACAGCTTTTCTGATACCTTTTTCCGTCTTTTCTCTCGATCAAAACGGGATAGTCCATTATTTGTCAGGTATTCGCAAGGTCCAACGTACATGCTAACTAAGGCCGAGAGGACAAGTAGAATTTTAATATGATCACCTAAAATATAATGCTAATATTATTCTTGTATAAGAGTATTTTGAGATATAGGAGCCGTTAGCTGTGCTCTCAAACGAAAACTCTGCTAACTTTTGCACAAACCTAACATCCTAACGTGACCCTCGATAAAACATTGCTTGTATTCATTTTTTATTTGTTCTGTCCCTTCAAAACGTTGACGATAATGGATCTCCGTAACTCTTTTTCATGTAGAGGTCTAAGTAATTTTATGCTCTCTCTCTATCTCTCTTTCTCTCTCCTGTTCTGCTAACCATTTGCCCAAGCTCGCTAGGTAGGTTATTGGCTGCTCTCATCTTGCTTACAATATGTCTTGTGTCAAATTCCCTAAGCCATTTTTACACGCCCTAAGAATTTCAAGTGTCTCTTTTTGATTCTAAGTAAGCATTGCAGGGATACAAAAGGCGATTATCAATCGCTCCCCCTTGTTGTACATTTGTGTCCGTTTTTCTTAAAACTTCGTCCTTTCTCACTTCTCATTCCATGTTATTCATAGCATCCTACGGCAGAATCGCATTTATGGTGTCTCAAGCCTATACTTCTCTTGTGAGGACATTGCTCAGAATTCCCTGGCATATAGGATGACGATATTACATAGGAGTTTAAGTACTCTTTTTTTTTTTTTGCTTGTAAAGAATTTCTTTCTTTTTTTTTTAATACTTTCTTTAGCATTTTGAGGGAATTGTTTGCTAATCCAGTTCAGCTTCCGATCTTGATGTTGCATTTTACACTAACTAGTCATTTAAACTTTTAAACTTGTTTGATTTCAGCAGGTCTTAAGATTGTGGACAAGCGTGAAACCAACTGTCACCGTTTGGTGTCGTCCTCAGTGTCCACTTTCGCATATATATATATATATATATATATATATATATATAGATAGATAGATAGATAGACAGACAGATAGATAGATAGATAGATAGATAGACCTAGTGAGCCAGACAAACCTACCAAGTTTTCACCTAAACGGATCGTCAGGGAAAGTTTGGCAGAAGTTCATGTTTGTAGCTCTTTCTTTTGTTAAAAACCTTTTTTCCCTCGAGATTGATTTGATTAGCAAATCAAAATTGAGGGTTTTTCGAAAGGAGTCTAGTTATATATATATATATATATATATATATATATATATATATATATATATATATATATATTAAAAATAATAAGAAAAATACTAAAGAACTTTGGATTATTTACCTAACGAGTTCTTTCCTATTTTCTAGATATTTCACACACACACACACACACACACACACACACACACACACACACACACATATATATATATATATATATGAGATTGCATGAAAATCTGTAGTCTAATGCTGATTTAGTGTATGTCCTTCTTTCAGGAAGGACGTTTTTTTGGATTTCAGTGTGTGAGAGCAGTCCCTTTCAAAAGGCCCCAAACGCCATCCCTGTGTCACATATGTATTAGGTTGGTGCAAAAATAATGACGTAAAAATGTCGTTTTTGGACGTATTTTTAACGTCAAAAAACGACATAATTACGTCATTTGCACCAACCTAATAAAAATGTAAACAGCGTACAGGCTGCCTTGCAAAGTCATCTGTAGGTACATGACCGTTTAGATCACATTTGAAGAAATGGCACTCTTCAGTAAAAAAAAAAATAGCGTGCTCTCCAACTCATTCTCCATCTATGTCTTATCTGTCAGATGTAATTATATATATATATATATATATATATATGATTATATATATATGATTTATATATATATATATATATGATTTATATATATATGACTTGACATATATATATATATGTATATATATGATTGTATATATATATATATATATATATATATATAATTTAGCTCTTGAAAATATATCTCAATTGAACACTGTTGAATGACAAGCTATTAGGTTGATGCAAAAATAATGACGTAATAATGTCGTTTTTTGACGTTAAAAATACGTTAAAAAACGACATTATTACGTCATTATTTTTGCACCAACCTAATAATTATACGAAGAACAGCCACCTGCATTAATGCGAAGCTCTGCAATAAAATGAATGGAGCAATCCGGCTGATTGACATTTGTTTACATTTGTAAAAACAAATTGCTATATTTAGCTGCAGCATTCTGTCAAATGACGATAGCTCAGTGACAGAACCCCTAACCGACACCAAGTCGGTTGGGTTTCAATCCTGACTTGAGGCATTCGGTTGTCTTCTAGTCGCACTGAAGAGCTGTGATACAGCGAAACAGTACTGTCTACGAATTATATATATATATATATATATATATATATATATATTCATGGATTATTCATACAAAAACAAATGCAAAGGTTAATGATTTAATTGGCGAGAAATCCATCGTCGCAAACAATTCAAATAATATACAAAAACCTCCGAACCTGTTATGAATGAAAAGATCCTTGTTTCTATAAATTTCTGCTGCATTAGTTCTTATTTTTACTACAAGCTTTCGTCTGTTCCTACAGACATCTTCATGTATGGAATAGATGTTGTTCTTGTTTTTTCTCTCAGTAATAAGAGAACAACGAAAATATATGTATTGTTTTATCCGAAAAATGCTATTGGAAATGAGTTATTGTTTTTGGAGTGTGCAGTAGCAACGCTGAGTTTGATTTTAAATTTTACAGTTGTGCATTCTTGTACAAATATGGTGATAAGCGAATTTTTTTTACTGGTAAATTTTCTGTCAAAGTGGCATGAACTATATTGTTCAATAATTACAGTAATGTCGCACTTATTACCCAAAAGTCGCACTTGGATCAGTTATTTTAATTTCGATAAACGTGCAATCAATTTACAAATTGATGAATTATTCATACAAAAACAAATGCAATATATATATATATTACAATGAATCACTCATGCAAAAAGTAGATTAGTAAAGTTAATGATGTAAATTGGCCAAATTCCTTTGCAAGCAAAATTTTAACGGTGCATTAACCTACAGATGTCAAAATCCTTGTTTTTAAAAATTATAAGCTATATAGTCTTTGTATAATACACAAGTTCTTTCAACTGTATATTCAATCATCTTCAGTCATGGAAATTAATTTGTTTTTGGTAAAATTCAGGTAGCATCTGAGACGAGAAATTAAATGCGAATCGTAATATATATATACTTTTTAATGTGTTATTGTTAATTTAATTTTTCGTCTCGGATTCATTGTAATATAAATTGAACTGCACCACATATTTGCTTTAAAAGAACTGATCCGACGTGCAAATTTTCGGGATAACAACTGAAACATTACTCTATTTACTGAACAATTTAGTTCATGCCACATTCACTGATAAATTGCTACAAAAAAAAAAATTCTCAAATTACCATATTAGTAAAAAAAAAAAAACGCACTCCCTTAAATTTAAAAAAAATTAACCTTAGCGTTGCGACTGTACGCTCCAAAAGTTTGTTAATAATAATACATTTAAAAAATATATATTTCGATTCGCACTTAGATGCTACCTGAATCTATGTTTTCCTCACATTCTATTCATATCTATCTATCTATCTATCTATCTATCTATCTATCTATCGTTCCATCACATTCTATTCATATTTATCTATCTTTTCATCACATTCTATTCATATCTATCTATCTATCTATCTATCTATCTATCTATCTATGTCTGTGTCTTCATTATCTACCTTTATCTATCTATGTGAATTGCTATTTTGCAGGTGGAACTCAAAACAACAATTAGACAGAGAAAGCAGATGTTTCAATTTCTCATCAACTCTTTCCGGTTTTACGGATTCTTCTTAGATCAAGAATTCTTGTTGTGCTTTTTAGCAAATTAGAAAAACTGTAACGAAATAAAATTTGAAAGAAAAAGTGCTAATAGACGTCTTGATTCTGCGAAACTGACTTTTCTAACATCTGTGTACAATGCCTTATGGCTGCATTAACATTAACGAGATAAATGTAATGTAATAACAATTATCAAAAAGTGATCATTATTTTCTTGCTTTGTGGTTCTGGATGTGAAGATTGTTGACCATCTTCACCATAATCTATGAATATAGAATACAGTGCAGTGGAAGAGTGCTGGGCTCATGACCTTTGTTGACTATGTTCACCATATTCTATGAATATAGAATACAGTGCAGTGGAAGCGTGCTGGGCTCATAACCTTTGTTGACCATGTTCACCATAATCTATGTATATAGAATACAACACAGTGGAAGCGTGCTGGGCTCATAACCCTTTTTGACTATGTTCACCATATTCTATGAATATAGAATACAGCGCAGTACGTAATCTTTTCACGAAACAACGTTAAAGATTAACACTCACGTGTCAGACACTCTACTGAATCTGACTATATCACCAATGCCACCAGCAGCTGTTCCGTAATTCTTTAGTCTTCAATATCAAAGGCTGACAGTGCATATTCGGGAAAACACATGGCCGCCTTTATACACGTCGCATTGATTATTTTGAGCCTTCTGATTGGTTAACCCTTCTATTGGTGAACTATAAAATGAGTCAGCTCATTTTGGCTGGCTCACTAGTACACCAGGGTACCCATAAACTCCAACAAACGTCAACGCAGATTGAGGATTTACAATTTCATAGCTTCTGTAACTCTTGTCAATATTTGTTGACCTCTAAATATTAGGTGGTTCCATAAATTCGCTCGCTTCTGTCCAGCGAATTATCTCGAATAATAACACTGGTTTACAAAGAAATTGAGGCAAGCATAAAAATATTTCTCCTAATCTAATTTGTGGTGGGAGGTTCAGATTTCAGACATAAAATATGTTGACACACCACCTCTTTTTAGTGAGCATTGAGGAATAACTTTTTCATCAACAGCAGTTTCTAAAAACGTTTTTCTTGTTTTTATGTGACTAGGCGGATGTTAGTTTTTGCATGTATATTCTGACTATATCTGTGTGTATGTTTTTGTTTTCCATGTCAACAAATATGAACAATTTCTCAAAGTTAACCTGTAGAAAAAGACAATATGTATAAAGGTAAAAGACAACCGGAAAACTGTATTATTAACCGACGCGTTTTGTCCAATGCGGACTTTTTCAAGACAAAAACGAAACGAAATCAGATTAGCAAGATTGTATAGAGAAATTGTTACAGGCTTATAAGGATATGGAATGCCGAATGTCACTCAAAATTCATTTTCTCCACTCCTATCTTAAATTATCCCCTCCAAACCTGAAGACAGTGAGTAATGATCATGGGGAAAGGTTCCATCAAGATATTACTAAGATGGAAAAAATCTGCCTAGTAAAGCGAAACCCCAAAATGATGAGGAAAATCTGCTGGATGCTCCTGTGTGGCATACCGGAGGTAAAATTCCTTAAATCTTCCAAAAAAATCTTACTTCTCACTGTCTGCTGTACTATGATATATACTTATGGTATTATCCAAGTAATTTGGTTCCATCAATGCTACGTGTCTATGTTCTTTTTACTGAAATATGATTTTGTCATAGATAAAATAAGCACATTTTGAATTTATATGCTGTATAATAAAAATATTATATGTGAAAGTAAAAAAACTAAAAAAAATAGAGGTGATAAAGCAAAACTGTTCAGAAATGTTAATTCCGTACATCAAAATTAGTATTAAAAACATTGTAACTCAAATGGTCAACTTCGTATAAAAGGCACCACGACATTATTACGTCATTATTTTTGCACCAACCTAATACATACAATAACCGTAAATAAACAACATTGGTAAAAGAAGGTTAATCATGCCATTCATTGTTTTGCTTTTCAATATATTTTCTTTAATTCCAAAAAGCTTAAAATTTCCCGAGTATTATGTGCTTAACATTTTACAAGGATTTTTTAAAAATAATATTCTTGTTCATGCAAATAATAACAAAAAAAGAATTGGACATTTCCCCCCTTCAAGTTTTGTTTCAATGTCGATTAAATTTAGTGTTTATTATTCAAAAAATAGAATCACAGAAAAAAAAAAAAGAGATA